AGAGGCGCAGCCCCGCCGCCGAGCGGGACCTGTGGAGCCGCGCTGGGTGCGGCGGGGCCGCTGCTCGCCGTGAAACAGCGGGAAGGCTTTCTTTAACACTGATCTGAGTGGGGCGCGCTGAGCCCAAAGCCTCTTAGGCTGTGCCCGCAGTATGGCCTCGAGTCCCCCCAGCAGCTCTAATAGTAATAACGATTAAAGCATAGACCTCGCTTTATATCCTTTCATTAGCTGTGTTTAGCTGATGCTGGTTGTATATTAGAGAGGTTTCTATTTGCCACAACAGCAGGTGTTTAAGTTGGATTATGAAAGAAGATTCATTTTCCCAAAGCTGGATCCGTATATATTGCATTAATAAATCGCACATCTGTTTCAAATGATAGTGATTCCATATTTGTAAATCATCCGGGTGAATAAACCCCTGCAGGGATGCACGTGGGTCAGTGGAACAGGACTGTATCACACTGTCATGTATCATGAGACTTCTGAGACTGCTGTAGACCTACTAACAGAATTTGTTCTGTAGAAAATAATTTAAAAACTACTCGTGTTTCTTGCTACATGCAACAACACTATGATAGGTTAAACCTTCTTGAAATGATCTGGTAAAAGAAAGGGTTTTGCCTTGCCTGCCATTTTAATGCCCAGTTCCTCTGCTGTGACTGCAGTGAACTTCTAAGCACTGGGTAGAGTCAAAATACAGCTTTCTCTTGCTGTTAGAACTAATGGTTAAACCGATGGTTTACTAGGTACTTGCTAATGGTTACTGGTTTGATTTTCTAATCCTGCAGCATTAGTCATATGATAAACAATGTCTGTAAGTCAAGCTAATTTTTGAGGTGCGTCTCGTATTTAAAGATCCATGAAGACTTTTTAAATAGATAGTTTAAAATAGTATAAGATTGTGCTTTCAGAATATATATATATATATATAGAGAGAGAGAGAGAGAGAGAGAGAGAGAGAGCCCCTGCTGTTCCTGAGGAGCTCTAGTTTTCTTTTTTAGCCCTGAACCTGATTTACTTGGGGGCCCCATGAAGGTGTCTCACTAGATGGAAAGCTGCAGTTTGAAATTTCAGGAGGAGCAAATAAAAGGTCTCAGAATTTCAGAGTGCCTCCTCAAACTAATGCTAGTAAATTGTTAAGGGAGAGTGACAGAAATCCAGGGATCCCTAATAATTGCTGAGCATTGCCATACTTGGAGAACCTTATTGGAAATATGACTTTGTAGGAGCCAGGACCACTCTGACTGCTGTGGCTGGGAGTGAGGGACAGCATTGAGAAGAATATTCTGAGTGGCTACATCTTGCCTCTTCTGCCAGAATTTAGGAATGGATGCTGGGCCTTTCACTACCATTTCCTGGAAAAGGTTTACTTGTGGGATATTACTCCTTATAGATACATTATCCTTTTTTCTTGTTATTCTTAATAGGACTGAACTTAAAGATTCATTATTTTTTTTTTTTAACACTGAAATAATAGTTTCTCTTGTACTCTGGCATGGCAGAAGTTGCTGAAATGGTGTGTTTATTTATAGGAATCTGACACTTATGTTCTGTTCTGAAGACTTCTGATTTTATGTATTGAAAACCCACTTTTCTGGAATTTAAACTGGAAAATAAACTGGCAGCCAGCAATAGGGAATGACTCTCCTTCTTCATCTACCAGTTGTCAGCACACAAATAGCACTATTTTTCTGTTCAAGATGGTATATTTTAAAATGGAAAAGTGATGGAATAACAATCTTTTCCTACAATTCATTTCTTTTTCACTTGAAAATCACAAGTTTTGCTTTTGCATGGGAAAAGTGATTTTTTGGTAAGGCAAATGGAAGAGCAGTACATGTGAATCATGCTGGATATATGGACAAAGGGAACATTCACTACTCTTTGCTTTCAGTTTCTTTATCAAGATCCATCTTTGTGTTCAACTGACTGTTACTATGACTTTCATCTGACTTCAATCATATTTGCT